GATCAGTAACCAAGACAAGAAAGATTTTAAGTTTATGGGCCTTACAAACAAGTGGACAGGTGAGTCTATTCCTAAACAGATGAGATATATCAGAGTACTGCAAAGTGCTTTGGAAAAAAAAGAGAAAAACTGTATTATATGATTGAAACCGGTCGGCAGGTACCCTGATGGTATTCTGATTCAGACTGAGTAGTAAGGTAAGACTTTTTGGAGAGGGTGATAGTTAAACTGAAAACTGATTATCAAGAAAAATTCTACCACACAAACTCCTGAAGGCAAAGCGTTTCAGCCCGAGTGTAAGTCCAAAGTCCCTGAGGCAAGAACAACTTGCGGTGTTCTTGTGATAAAAAGTCAGGCCAGTGTATCAAGATAGTGAAGGGAAGATGGTTAGAAAATGAAGTTAGAAAGATAGTGGGCATTAAATTATCTGGATCCTTATAGGGAAGAGAAGATATTCTGGGGAGTGTTCAGCAGACAATAAATTGATGGTGGTGAATTGTCTGTAGAGAATTTAAAAAATGATAAAATGTATGAAAAGTTAGTCTGCCTTTTATTATCAGCAAGTGCCAGTGATACTAAATAATATCAGTGATAAAATACTCCCTGAAAATATCTTTTGCTGGCCAAGGCTTTAAACAATTCTTGTGTTTACTGTTAAGTTTTAAAACTATGTCTAGTTATCTACACTGTCAATTTTTGTAACTTGTGGTAGTTAAGTTGTATAAAGTCACAGAAAACACTGAAAGATTATTGCTTCTGGGGAAAATATAGGCTTAGGTTCTTATGAGCATCTGCTCACATTTCTGTTGACAGATTAGTGTAGAAACTTGTTTGACATATTTGTTGTTTAAAGACACCTTAATTAATACATATCATTGACTCATCAACCCTGAACTCAGAGCCAATAGCACTATAATGACTAAATTAAAGTTAATGAAGCTCTTTGGCAGGCTGGATTAGGGAAAGAAACTCTCATATATACTCTTCACTGCACTGTCTTTCATTTTGATATGTGTTAGTGAGAACTGCAGAACTCTTGGCATTTAACAGCTTTGTCCAAACCTTGGCACTAAGAGACTTGTTGACAAACTCTAGCTGGCATCTAGCAGTTCAAGCTCATGTCCCTGCTGAGACAGCAGAGGCACTTGGGCCCAGGTTGGAAAATAGAAGGTGACCAGGAGGCCAAGTCCAGACCAGGTGGTCAGAAAGAACACGGGATACACTGATGGTAAAAAAACGTCGCCAGTCTTCCACTCCCTACTCAAAAATGCAGAGGTAGCTGATTTTATCTTTCTTCTAACTGCATGCTTAACCTACTGACCTGCATGTGCAGGTGACCGAGGTCCGACGGCTACACAGCCTTTCTGCTGTGGCAGTAATGAGCAACACCACCATCTTGCCCCCATAGGGCAGGCACAAAGATAGTTGCCAAGTTACCCCATAAAGGGATAAGGAATCTTACCCTGACATGAAAAATTCCACTCCCAAACCCTTCACAAGCCTGACTTTTCCAGAAGCCTGCCATTTTGCACAAGCCTGCTTTGCCCCAAGCTTATAAAAGTGGCCAGCCCTCAAGCCCGTTCAGAGGACATTCCTTTTCTCCATGCTGCCGCCCTTGAGTTTTAGCATAAGTTTAATAAAATCTGTCTAAAAATTTCTCTGGGGTTTTCCCTTGGGAATTTCCCAATTTCCAAGATGGAAATTTCCCAATCTATCTTGGGGAACCCAAGAACACCATTGAAGGTAACCCCAGGTAACACTAAAAATGACTGCCTAGGAAAGCTGAATGCTTGCCTTGGCTGAGTAGCTCAGTTGACTCAGATCTCCCAGGAGAATTTGTTGTTGATTTTGGTCAAAACTTAATGATAGACAGGCTCCTCTTAGAGCAGTTATTTAGAAAGCTTACAATTACAAATCCTTTCTCTGCCCTTTGAGATGAGAATCTACCACCTAAAACTTTCTTTAGGGACCCTGGAGACATTGCTTTGAATGCAAACATTCAGGAAATTGGGGAGACGACTCTTGCTTTTCCACTCCCCCTGGAAGACAGAATAAGGGTGTGTAACCAGTGGAAGCACCACCCAGCTTCAACAGACACTGCTGGACAACTGTAATTAACAAACCCATGAGGGTAACTTCCTCTTGCAGCTTTTAGGGTTCTCCCTGTGTGTCCTTAACCTTTGCCATTTTAATTGTGACTTGTCATGGTGTGGGCTTTTTGGGGTCCATCTTGTTTGAGACTCTGCATCTTCTAGACTTATATGTCTTTTTCCTTCACCAGATTAGGGAAGTTTTCTGTCATTATTTCTTCAAATAGGTTCTTGATTCTTTGCTCTTTCTCTCCTCCTTCTGGTACGCCTAAAAACAGATGTGTCATTAAATACATGTGACACTGTATGTTGTCCCCAAATTACTTAAACTATTCTCATTTAAATTTTTTTCTTTTTGCTACCCTGATTGGGTGTTTTTTTTCTACTTTGTCTTCCAAATAGCTGACTTGATCTTCTATTTTATCTAAGCTACTTTTATCGCCTCCAGTGTACAAGTTCTATCTAGAGGTATTTAGCCATATAATATGAAGAAGAGACATTTATTGAAGAAGATACAAAAAAACATTGTACATAGGACAATGATGCTTCAGTCCCCTTCAAAGTAGGCACCTTGGGACCTCACACAGTTCTCCCAATCACCATCAGTTGCCTCTTCATATTTTCCTGAATCTCATTAATTGTCTACAATCTCTTCCCTTTGAAAGGTGATTTCAGTTTGGGAAAAAGCCAGAAGTCACAGGGTGCCAAATCTGGGCTTTGGGGGAGCTAACTCATCTGGGTGATTTGATGTTTTGCCAAAAATGTTTACATGAGACATGATGCATGAGATGACACATTGTCATGAGGAAGCTGCAAATTACCAGTTGGCCATAGCTGTGGCCTTCTAAGTCATCCAAATAATTTCTGTGGAGGCATGTTCAAGCTTAATGCAAAAAATTTTTAAGTTCTGTGTTTGTTTTTAGAAAGAGGGAAAAGAAAGGAGAAAGACATCAATGTAGGAGAGAAACAATCAGATGCCTTTCACATGCCCCCAATTGGGGACCTGGCCTGCAACCCAGGCGTGTGCTCTGACTGGGAATTGAACCAGCAACCTTTCAGATTGCAGGTCAGCACTCAATCCATTGAGCCACACCAGCCAGGGCTTAATGCAAAATATGATGCAGATTTGTTGCTCTACTTGCTCAGTCATTTTAAATGCAATGGCCACACAGTACACATGTTCACTTAATAGTGTCTATTGTCCCCACTGAGCAGTAGAGTAAAGTCATCATTGTTCACACATGTGCATTCCAGTTCACTCTCCTTGGCTGCCGGGTTATATCAATGTCACTCAAACCATCCTTAAGAATAGCTGAACTTTTTCTGGACAGGCCTCATATTCTTTATCTCAGAGAACATTATGCTAAGGAGGATAAGCCAGTCAAAGAAAGACAAGGACAATATGATTTCACTCATACGTGGAATCTGATAAACAAACTGAGCTAACAAGCAGAATAGAGACAGACTCAGAGAGCAGGCTTGGGGCAGGGTGTGGGTGTGGAAGGCTTGAGTAAAAAGGAAAAAAATAAAGAGAAAGAATTCATGGACACGTAGAACAGCATGGTGATTGCAGGGCTGTGGTGGAGGTGGGTGGAGGTAGAAGAGGGAATGGGGGATAAATGGTGATGAAAACAAAAGAACAAAAGCCAAACAAACAAATCCAGATGGTCTAGTCACATGGATTAACTTCCCTTAATGCTTGCTACTCAGTGCTTTTTCCTTGGCATACTCCAGACTTTAAAAAGTCTCTTTTGGGGAAGTTGAATTCAGTTAAATTGGGTCTTCTTCTCTATTGTAAATGTCTTACTGAAGGAAATCTGTCCTCATTGCTTCAATGTTATTTATATTCCTCCTTCATTTGTTTTGCTTCAAAGTTTTGTAAATCAGTTGGATACCTCTCTAGTTCCCAGCAATGATAAATGTTTTAAGGGGTATTACTATGACAATTGGAATAGAGAAAAAAGGAAACATTTAGCATAATCCTTCAGTCTCAGAATTCTTCCTAATGGTGCTTACAATATAAGTGTACATATAAATGATGAAGGAATCACTGTAGCAAAACAGAAACAATCATAAGTTTTGCAGCAAAAGTAGACTTTGGTTTGATTCCTTACTTCAATATTTTTATTGGGTTGCAGGCCAGTTCCCAGCAGGGGACTCACGAGAGGCAGCCATACATTGATATTTCTCTCCTTCTCTCACTCCCTTCCTCTCTAAAGATAAATAAATAAATTAAAAAATAAAAATAAAAATAGGAAAAATAATACCTATCACATGGACTTGTTGGGAAATCAAGATTGAATATGAATACATGCTTACCGGGTAGTACCTAGGTCATAGTAATTGTTCAACACATAATTTATACTTTGTATTATTAATCCCTACATTTGAAATAAATCCAAAGAGAGTTATTTCATCTCTGTGTTGTTACAACAACGTACCTCTTTATGACATCCTTCGTCTACCCATCTATAGGTTTCTTCTGTGAGACAATTTTCTTCTTTATCCTTACATCCCCAGCTTCTGCCATTTGAGAAGATAGGTATTCAATATGTTTGGTGAATAAATGAGTACACGAATAAATGAATCAATATATAGTAAAACAAATGTATGGTAAACTTACGGTACCAAAATTGTGTAATAGTTTACATAGGTCAAGTCAATTTCTGATGTCTTTGCTTGTGAAATAATGAACATAAGACATAAATGTTTTCATGTTTCTTATTTTTGTTCTGAAGTAAATACCTGTTTATTGTGCTGCCTCATAATTTTCTTAAGAGTCATCAATTTCAGAAACAGGATCTAAGTGCAAACGAGCACTGCCAGCATACTATACATTTCCTGTTTTTGGATAACTGGTTGGACTACTTAAACTCAACTTGCTAAAGCTCAACCTATGCATGGCTCACATGAGCTGACTCATAGATCCTCTTTTGTCCACAGGCAGTTGTCTTAGAAGAGAGGAAAGAGCTCTCGAATACTCTGCCAGTTGAGAGATTCAATAGAACAGTAGAATAGAACCATGGAAAATTTGGATGAAGATGGATATACTCAGTTGGAGTTCAGCTCTCGAGGTTTTGCCAGAAGACCTGTGTCCCCAAAGAAAGGTATTTTTTTCTTTCTACTTTCAATGTTTTCATTCTCATCAACTCAAACACTTAAGTAGAAAAAATTTAAGAGGCTTGTGATTTGTAGGGGTTTTATTAATATATTTTAAAATGTTTTCTGAAGTCGCTAAAGATAATTTGAATGTTCACTAAGCCTTTTCTCGTGACAATCATTCAGTGACCAATTATTAATATTGAAAATAATGATGATGATGACAGAAAATACACTATCTGTTCCGCATTAGTAGATAGATCAACAGTGAGGAGCTAGAAATAAGTATGATGAAGAAATAAGAATTTTTTAATTTATTTAAAAGTGAAAGAATTTCAATAGGAATGACTTGTTTGATAGCAGTAAATTATAGAATGGAGGTCAAAGAAACTTAAAATGTATCAGCGTATCCTGATAATATCAGGATATTGGAAATAAGAAAGAGAACAATGAGCCCTGAGCAGTGTGGCTTAGTTGGTTGAGCACTGTCCCTCAAACCAAAGGTCACCAGTCTGAGTACTGGTCAGGACACACGCTCAGGTTGCAGGCCAGGTCCCTGGTTGGGGCATGTGCAAGTGGCAACCAAATCAATGTTTCTCTTACACATCGATGTTTCTCTCTCTTTCTCTCTCCCTTCCCCTACCTCTAAAAATAAATAAACAAAATCTTTTTTAAAAAGAGAAGGATGAAAAGATCGAAGGGAGGTAAGAGATAACAACAAACCTGTGATTTTATGGTAAAGGACAAAGGGAAAATGAAAACGATAGGATTTAGAATCCTGAATAAGTCTACAGCCATACCACGCTGAATGTGCCCGATCTCATCTAGAATCCTGAATAAGAAATTTTTTTTGTGTGGTAAAAGCTTGATTTGGATTTTTTTAACAAAAGCAGTTCTTTGTACACCAATGAAGAAAATATTTGTGTTAGATGAAAAAGTCCTATTAGTAAAACATGAGTCTTAGACAAAAACGACAAAGAAGTGAAATATGGAGAAGAGCATTAAGAAATCTCTGTCTTCCTAGAACAAACAATTTAGTCCCCTCTATAGTTCTCCTATTTGACAACTCTCTGAAATGTTCTTATTGCTTATTCTCAAAGGTAAAATATGTCCTTGGTGTGGTGAAGTTAAAATAGAATAAGTTCTTTGTTATCAAGAAAGAGATTATTCACAGGTTTTGACATCATAATTTTGTCTCTTCTGCTTTGTGGTCATTCACATTGCACAATCATTTTGCTCTCTCCACTTACGCAATACTTTTCTTGAGTAACCTTTTGGGAAAGAGTGGAAAAACTAGATGATGTAACAGGTAGAGAGGTGTGTGTTTACAGATATGTGTAGACAAACAGTGAGCTACCTATAATTTTCTAGTAGTCTCTAAACAAGATGACTTCCATGTGTTAGCTTATTTAATTCCCACAATAATCCTTTGAAGCTTTATTACCTCATTTTTCATGAAAAGAAGTGCAAGAATAAGGGAAGTAATTTGCAGCAAATCAAGTAATGTCTGTATGAAAAGGGAAGTTCATCCTTCGTAACCAATGCTATTTCCCCTACATTAAGCTGTCTCTTCTAAGAATGAGCAGGATTTCAAGGATCCTGGTGACAGTGAGACCAAGAGACATCAGTGTGGAACTGAAACTAGGGGTGCATAGCTATCAAGGCACTGTGCTTAAATTATAGGTTCAGAACCTAGATAACTAGATAATCTGGGTATCAATGATTAATGTCTAACTTCAGAATTTGCCAGGTTTGGATGGATTATAGAACTGAAGTGCTCCATGACCCACCATCCTATTTCTTCATTCAATCCCTGCTCCCTCTGGCCCCTTCAGGATCTTGGGCTGCATCTCCTCCTTGGCGTTTCATTGCTGTGACTCTGGGAATCCTGTGCTTGGTAATATTGGTGCTAGCTGTGGTCCTGGGTACAATGGGTAAGTATTGCTGGAGAAGATTAACAACAACAGATATTTTTTCAAATTTTATTTTATTGATTATGCTATTACAGCTGTCCTGATTTTTCCCCTTTTGCACCCCTGCAACCAGCATTTCCTGCTCCCTCAGGCAATCCTCCACCCTTGTTCATGTCCATGGGTCATGCATGTAAGTTCTTTGGCTACTCCCTTTCCTATACTGTACTTTAGAGCCTCATGGCTATTTTGTAACTACCTATTTTTACTTTTTAATTGTCTCACATCTTCACCCATTCTCCCACACCCTCCTATCTCTTTATCTTTAAACTTTGGCATTTTAATTATGATGTGTTTTGGAGTGGGTCTCTTTGCATCCACCTTGCTTGGGGATTCTCTGTGCTCCTGAAATCCAGCATGTCTATTTCCTTCATCAAATCACGGGATTTTTCTTTCATTATTTTTTCAAATAGATTTCCAATTACTCATTTTTTTCTCTTCTTCTGGCATCCCTATGAAGCAAATGTTGGATTGCTAAAAGTTGTCTGGCAGGCTGTTTACACTATCCTCCAATTTTTTTGGATTCTTTTTCTTCTTCTTGTTTTGATTGTTTTTTGCTTTCTTATGTTCCAAACCATCGGTTTGATTCTCAGCTTCATCCACTCTACTGTTGTTTCCTTGTAAATTATTCTTTATTTCAATTAGTGTATCATTTATTTCTCACTGGGTCTTTTTTATGCTGTTGAGGTCCTCACTAAGTTCTTTGAGCAGCCATGTAAACCTTTTTGAACTTCGCATCTAACAACTTGTTATCTCTATTTTGTTTAGCTCTTTTTCTGGAGTTTTGATCTGTTCTCTCAGTTGGACCATGTTTCTTTGTCTCCTCATTTTAGCAACCTCCTTGTGTTTGTTTCTATGTATTAGGTAGAGCTGCTTTGACTTTGTGTCTTGGTAGTATGTCCTAATGAAGTAGGTATCTTATCGGGTTCAAAGGCACAACCTCTCCTAACACCCAAGCTGGGTACTTGAAGTGCACCCTTCATGTGGACTAAGTATACCTTCTCTTGTAGTTGAGCCTGGGTTGCTGTTGGCAGGTCAATGGTAGGGATTTCCCCGGGCTAATCAGGACTGGCTGTGACCACTGATGACCACCCTCTGCCCTCTGTGGAGAATCAGCTGTGCAGGGGCAGGTGGTAGTTCTCCATTGTGTCTGTAGCTGTCCACTGGGTGCACTGGCCCTGAGGTTTCCCAGGTGGTGCAAGCCAAGATCAGCCCCAACCTGTGTTTTGCCCAGGACTACTCTGCCTGAGTTATAAAGCAATCTGAGATGGCTGCTACTTGTGCTGGGCTTAGAGATTTCCAGGTGAAGCTAAACTGTGAATCTAGACTGCTAGTTCTGGACCTGTGGCTCACTGAGGCCAACTGTTGTTTGAGAGAATTTAGGAAGTTGTGAAGCCTGAGACCAGCCATTCATATGGAAAAGCAGCTTGCAGGGAGGAAGTGTAAGTACAACATATATTTAACAAGCATTTATAATGTGCCAGACACTCTTTTAAAAGCTTGACTGCATAATTTAATTAACTCTGTATTTAACTCTATCGAACTGATGATGCTAATTCTGATTTTATTTACAAGGAAAGTGAGAGATTAGGAGGATAGTTTACTTTTCTAAAATTATAATCTAGTTAGTGGTAGGATCATGATTAGGAATTTAGGCAAACCTGTCTTAAAAAAAACTCAAGACCTGACCTACATTACTCTTCTACACCCCTCGAACAGCTGGTTTCAAAACTGGAATTACCAGGATAAGTTAATGGAAGGAAACCAGTGGAGGTGAAAAAGGAAGTACAAAGTGGTGCTATCTTCCTAATAAAATATGTTCCCCAATGAGACTATAAGCTATTTTTATGTCTCGTGAGTTAAGAAAAATGTTTTATACCTAATCTAAACTCCACTGAATACTAGAAATTACCTGAGACACTTACTAAGTACTAAGTAGTATATCTCCTGTATCTCCTGTATCCTATTGTCAATAAAATATTATTTTGTTTTCAAACAGTCTTTATGAAATTTTTTAATTATTCAGATGTTTATTGAGTCCAGTCTATGTTGCAGGTACAGGGCAGGTTGTCAAAGAGCTCTCATTTTTAAAATACACAAGAAAGTTAGAAGATTTATTACTATTTCAAATCTACTATGGTTGCAATCAACTTTATTTCCTCTGCTCTTGCTTTATCATTAATATTTTTCTTCTTCTTTAATTGCTTCATTTTTCTTTCTTTTTTTTTACTATACCACTTTCAAGGAAGTTACTTCTTATTCCATCTATTTAATCTACTATCTATTTAATCTACTTATATATAATCCAAAAATAGATGTATAAATACATCTATCTTTACTTCATCAACGTGTTATCTCCTTATCATTAATCAAAAATGTATTGCTTTGCATTTCTTAATTCTTTCACCTTTTTACCCCCTCTCTATGGCAATCATCAATCTGTGTTCCCTGTGTCTAGAAATCTATTTCCATTTTATTTGTTGCTTATTCTGTTCTTTAGATTCTATATATAAGTAAAATCACATGTCTTTCTCTGTCTGACTTATTTCAGTTAGCATAACACCCTCTAACATTTTATTCTTTGTTATGGTCAAGTAATATTTCATTGTATGTATGTACCACAGCTTTTTATCCACTTGTCCATTGATGGTTACTTGGGTTTCTTCCATATCTTGGTGACTGTAAATAACACAGGAGTGAACATAAGGGTTCATATATTCTTTTGAATTAATCTTTCTATTACAACAAAAATATGGGTTTTGGAATTTCATTTTTCAAACATACTAGAATGACCCTTTGTCACTATTGTTGTTGGTAAATGAAGGTATTTGGAGATCCAATTCAGGAAGCAATCCACTGAAGAATAACAATTTTCCATCAAGAAATAAAGAGAACCACAGTCAACCCACACAATCATCTTTAGAAGAGAGTGTGGCTTCTACCAAGGCTCTCACAACCACAGGCAAGGGCGGGGTTAAATGATTAATAGAATAATTAATTTGGGAGGGGTAATTGTTGGTGTTTTGGCCTGGAGGGGGAGGTGAAGAGAACATTTTTACAGGTAGCAGTTATGCCTTCAAGGAGAGCTCACATCATTGTTATCTCAGTCTATTATGCTCCTGTCACATATATGATAAAATAATGTCATAAATGCCCCTTGCACTTGGCTGGACAGTTCTACCTTGAATTTTTTTTAAATGAGTAACTAATTTATCATTGTCTGTGTGTTTAGGCCTGCAAGATTGTATAATTTGAAATATGTTTTGCACCTGGTGGAACTGACATTTTAAAGTGATTCAGTAAGAATAAGAAATAGCACATCGTAAAGGAAGAAAGGGAGAGAGAAAGGGAGAGAGAAAGGAAGACTAATGTTGGTGAGAATTAAGGGCAAAATTATATACATGTAGAAAAGAGAAACCTAATAGCTATGTTCCTGAAAACACTGGTTAAATTTGTTTTTCTTTTTTATGTATTTATGTATTTATTTATTTATACAGACAGGAAAGGAAGGAGAAAGCGGGACAGAAACACCAATGTTTGGTTGCCTCTCACGAGACCTCACTGGGGACTTGGTCTGCAACCCAGGCAGGTACTCTGACTGGGAACCAAACCAGTGACCCTTTAGTTTGCAGGCCAGCACTCAACCACTGAGCCACATCAAGCAGGGCTGTTTTTCTTTCATCAGACAATTCTACTGATTTTATTACAATTTATACACACTTGATCTTTTAATTTCATTATAATTGACAATAAAAAAATATTTTTATTTTAATTTTCCGTCTCTGGACACATTCTTCCTCATGCTTTGCATCAAGTAGCTAACAATACAAAACCAAAGTACACTGTAATGTGAATATTTGTTCTTATACTCTTCTCATTTGGAAAATTAGCATCTGAAATGGATCTCGCACTTGTAAAATAAATTAATGTGAAATTACTGTATACCTCAATGATTGATTTTGGGTTGATTTGTTTTAAGAGCTTTGAAGAAAAGGAGTTCCAGGCTGAATTTGAAGGATTGGTAGACAAGAAGAAAAGGAAGCCTGACTATCTGAAACATGTTAATAGTTCATTTATTTTTAATGTTAAATGCATGGGAGCATTTCAATGTGGCCTCTTTTATAAAGTCACATTCTTATCATTTGAATTGAAAATGAAATATTTTAATGATTACTCACTAATTATTTATTGTACACTCAGGATGGATGGTGCCTACACTGAAAGAGTGAAATGTTATGATGTAAATCACATGATATTTCTCTATTTCCAGGAGGTGTTTCCAGCCCTTGTCCTGCTACATGGGTTGCGCATGAGAACAGTTGTTATCTGTTTAGCACAACACTGTATTCCTGGAATGGAAGTCAAAGACAATGTTCTCAGCTGGGCTCTCATCTCCTGAAGGCAGACAGTTCCGAAGAATTGGTAAGTGTAAATTTCTGTTTTAATTATTTGTGGTCTATACTGAGCAGAAAAATAGAGGTAGATTCCAGATAACGATAATTTTCCCTGAGAAAAAGTGATTTTTAATATTCCCCATAATTGCCTTGGCTGGCATATCTCAGTGGATTGAGCACTGACCTGGGAACTGAAAGGTCGCTGGTTCAATTCCCAGTCAGGGCATATGCTAGGGTTGAGGGCCAGGTCCCTGTGGAGGGCATGTGAGAGGTAACCACACATTGATGTTTCTGTCCTGCTCTCTCTCCTTCTTTCTCCTCTCTCTAGAAGTAAATAAATAAAATCTTTAAAAACTGTTCTCTATAATTGTTATAATAGTATGCATTAAGTGGGTAATGTTTTTAATATATGCATTTCTTTTTAATTAATTGATTAAAAATAAGCATGTTGTATTTTAAAACAATTCCTTCCAAACACACTACAAGTTTTTATGACTATAATAATCAGGTCACTACTTATTTTTGTGGGTTTGGATTTCAATTTTTAAATTTGGTGATAGACATTCTCCCCTTTGTCATCATAATTATCAAGAAAAACAGCATCAATGGTATTATGTATTTATAAATTATTTACTCTTTACAAGATACTGGGAAAGGTGGAGAGGTTTAAAAAGCAAACTTGATATTGCAGTACTTATATAATTTGTAAGAACAAAGAAACAACAACTATTAAAAGTTAAATATTTGGTATTGGTAGCAAATACAATAGGAATTCAGAGCGACATCTCTGTAGACAGGAAAAGTTTTACAGGAAAGATGAGATTTATAGTGCACCATTAATGAAGGCTAGAACTTAGATGTGCTATAAGAAAGGTTAATTGCCAGGAAACATCTTATGCTATAAATCTAGACAATCTATAATTTCTACATTAATTTTCACTACTTTCAATTATTTTTTGTTTCTGTCTTGTCTTACCCAACATAAGAATTATGAACGTTTGTGTATGGGCAAGAAAAAGAAAGGGACTGGAAGTCCGTGGGGATTTTAGGGCTTCCTACAATTGCCACTACATAGGTTACATTTGTCAATAATTCAAATGTCAGCATTAAACCCCAGGTTACTTACTCATAAAACATCCAATCACCTTACATCATTTTTATTTGTCACCCAACTCTGAGAAGCATTTCTTGACAAAGGTCCTATAAATTTATATTTCTGACTTTAGAAAAACATAGTAACTAATCATCCACGAAAGTTGCCTAGGGGACCTTGGATTTTGTCAGGTAAATTGAATAGAAGTACAGTTTTGACATTTCGGATATATTCTTTGGGCAAAATTCAACACTAATGACTCTGAGTAAGTGAAATACGCCTTTTGAGACACTCGGTGGCATTCAAGAATTGATGCCAATGTATGCACATATCATTCACCAAGGCGATTCATTTTGTTGTCTCTTTCTCAACATCTAGAAGTTCCTCTTTGTCTCTTCTCTGTATTTGCCTTTATCTCTATCAGCTCTGATTGTCTCTCTCTCTTCTTGACATATATTTGTATTTATGTTCCCCTACAGGACTTCATAGTGAAGGAAATGTCTCCCTATCCTCATGACTCATTTTGGATAGGGCTCTCTCGCACTCAGACTGAAGGACCATGGCTCTGGGAGGACGGCTCAATATTCTCTTCTGAACTGTAAGTATCTAAAGAGACAGAGTCTCATACCCTTTCTCAGAAAAGGGAGAGCATGTCAAGCAGTTAAGAATCTGACTTTGTCTTGACCATATATAAGAGAGACATGGCCCTGGCTGGTGTAGCTCAGTGGATTGAGCACGGGCTTGCAAACCAGACAATCGAGGTTCAATTCCCAGTCAGGGCACATTCCTGGGTTGCTGGCTGGTTCCCTGCAGGCCAGTTCCCAGCAGGGGACGCACAAAAGGCAACCATACATTGATGTTTCTCTCCCTCTCTCCTTCCCTTCCCCTCTAAAGATAAATAAATAAAATCTTTTTTTTTAAAGAGAGAGACAAAGAGAACCATGGATACCAATGGGGAGAAAAAGTGAGCCAAGAAAAAAAAGAAAAGAATAAGGTAGCAGAGGACTTTGCAGTCAAAAGAACTGAGTGGCCATTTAGTGTTTTCAACATGAGTTCCCTCATCTTTCTCTTCAGAGAAAGATGTATTTGAAATTGTTCAGTATGGAGCAGTCACTGTTGGTTAGTGTAAAACTGTGGTGAGGACCATGGACTTTGAGTCTCAGCTTGAATCAATGATTGGCCCACTCCTGTCTGAAATGGGATAAGTTGCTTAACCTATCAGGGATCCTCTTTCTTCACTTTTAAATAAGAATAAAAGTAGCAGCTACCTCTCTGGATTTTGAGATAAAAGGAATAAAAGTAAAATCACTTAGCACAGTGTTTTGCACATAGTAAATGTGTAATATACACTATTATCATTAATTTTAAAAGCAACTGCATTTAATATTTTATGAAGTTCTTTAAATAGTTTTCACACTTGCATAATTTATAAATTCTTTCTCATTGTGTGTTTGTAAATCCAGGTTCTTCAGAGAAACATAACCAATAGGAGATCTATATAGATCTACATAAATCTTCTCTGGAGACCCCCAATAAACACACAATGAGGAAGAATTCATATGCAGAGATTGGTTATGAGGAATTGACTCACATGAGTGTGGGGGCTGAGAAGTCCCATGATCTCCCCTCCGAGAGCTGAGACCCAGGAAAGCCTGTGGTGTAATTCAATTTAAGCATAAAGGGCTGAGAACCAGGGGAGTCAGTGATGTGAAACCCAACAGTAGGGCAGAGCAAGATGAGATTAACTGAGCTATCTTAGCTCACACAACGGTGGAAGCATCAAAACAGGGACAGATCCTTCCTTCCTTCACTTTTTTTCTATTTAGGCGCTCAGTGAATTGGATGATGCTCCTTTACATTTGAGAGGGCAATCTCCTTTACTGAGCTCACTGGTCAAACACTGATTTCATCCAGGAACACCCTCATAGACACTCAGAAATACTGTTTAATATGCGTGTGGCTAGTGAAGCGGACACATAAAATTAACCATCACAGTGCTGAAATTTCCCTCACCTCAATGGTCATACATTTTCTTCCTAATATCTGCAGAAGATGAAATTACTGTATTTTGCTCTATATAATGCACATCCATGTTTTTGGCCCAAACTTTCAGGAAAAATCTTTCATTTTAATTTTTAACTTCAATTTTAATTTATATATAAAACTGATGATCATATTCCAGGATGTTATTTTGCATACATATATTGTTATTGCTTTCTAGAGTTGTACTTTTAATACATAAGCATATATAAAAGAATTAAAAACATTTATATAAATACAGAATTAATATTACCCATGAATAATGCACATCCTTATTTTTCCCTCAAAACCTTGGCAAAAGAGTGCACATTATACATGGTAAAATATGGTATGCTCCCCTTTTAAGTTTCTATTATTAGGGTGCATGTTTGTGTCTGAGTGTGTATACACAACTGGGTTTTATTGCCCACTAATATCAGTGGGTGTGTCATCCAATTTAATTAGTCTTTCAAAGCAAGAAGTTTTGGCTTTGTTGATTCCCTCCTTCTCCCCTTGCATCTTTTACATTTTTCTTTTATTAATTTTAATTATTTTTTATTATTTTCCTCATCCAATTTCTTTTTGTTGAATTTGCTATTCTTTAACATTTTTAGAGTGTATTCTATTGATTATGCTATTATAGTTTTCCCAATTTTTTCCTCCCCTTTCTCCCCCCTCTGCCCTGCACCCTCCCTCCAGCATCCCCCCACCCTGAGTTCATGTCCATAGGTTATACATATAAGTTCTTTGACTTCTCTGTGTCCAATACTATTCTTAACCTACCTCCATCTGTTTTATGCCTACTAATTATGCTTCTTATTCCCTGTACCTTCCCCCCATTTTTATAGATGCCTGACTCCTTTAATTCAGCCTTTCCCCCCCAAATATGTACATGTAAGCCTATAATTTTAATGTAGCCTATAATTTTAATTTTACTGGCATTAAGTGTGAAATACTTTCTATTTTCATTATGAGTTGTTCTTTAAATTATGTTACTTTAAAATGCATTTCTTTATTTATATCTGTGTAGTTATAATTATCCTATTGTTTTAAGTTTCAGCTTAATTCCATTGTGGTAAAAACAATAACAACAACAACAAAACCCTACTAAGTGTGATTGAAGTTCTCTAATTTTCTATCTGCTTCTTCTTCCTGTACTGGGAGAATTATAATAAAATCTTCCACTGTGATTCTCCTTAAAATTCGGCAAACATTTCAATTGCTGTGTTGAAGCCATATTATTAGATATATGTAGACTTAGATGTACAGATTTATGCAGTCAGTTCATCTAGATATTTCCACATATTTATAATTTTCTTTTCTTCTTATTCCTTTATGCCTTTCCTACCTTCCATTTTAAATCATTTTCCTTAAAATTGAAGATTCTCTTGAATATTTCCTTTAGAGTCAAAGTTTTAGAGTTGAATTCTCTATTTGTCTAAAACTGTGTTATTTCAACTTTTTCTAAAAAATATTTATCTTAAAATTAGACAGTTGTAGCTTTCTTTCTCTCTGCCATTCAAAGGTATTACTATAGTGTGTTCTATTTTTTGTTATTGCTTTTAAGAGTTCAGCTGTTTGAAGGTCATAAATGTGTTAAATCTGATGTTTTTTTCAGGTTTGGAATAACTCAGTCATACTTTCTTCAAATAGTGTGTCTACCCTCTCTTCATTTCTTTGAGATCCCAGTTATATGCATTATAAAACCATTCACAACATTTTGTGTCTTTTTTGCTTTTTCTATATTTTTATCCTTTTTAAAAATCTATTTATTTACTGGTCATATATCTTCCAGTTAATTTTTTCTCATCTGTTTCTATTTTGCTATTAAAGGTATCCATGAAGTTATATTTTGATTAGTGAACTTTTCATATCTATATGTACAACTTGGTTCTTTCTAAAATCTACTCCATCACTATTTACAATTCTTAACTTTGGTTCATCATTTGCAATATTTTCTTTTTACTCCAAAAATATATAGCTGTTTAACACTTATCTTTGATAATTCCAACATCTTATACTCATGTGTTTTCCTTTCCACTATATATTTTCCTATTTTTCATTCAGGTTCTTTGGCTTCCTTATATGCCTGATTATTTTTGACAATGTGCTTAACATTACTTTTTATTGTTGATGTTATCACAGATGTCCCCCATTTCCCCCTATTTCCCACCCCACCTAGCCCTTGCCCCCCCTCTCCTGGCCTTAAATATTTATAGAATCAATTTGAAGTTTGCAGAGTGGTTTTTCATTTGTTTCTGGCAGACACTATTGGGTATGACTAGGTCAAAGTGCTGAGTATGATCGCATTTTGATTTTAATACCACTTAACTGTTTCACCTTTCACTAGCACAAGCACAGTGAATTTATTGACAAATATTCTTGACAAAATACATATCCTACATTTCTATAGCACTTACTTGTCTTGAATTTTCTTTTTTAAATTTTATTTAGTTATTTCTCAAGTAGAGTTTGAATTTTCTTTAACTAGTTTGACATATAACTAGTAGACTCTTCCTATTTTGTTACATGAAGTAAAATACTGTTTGTTTTTTATTTTGACGTTTTACGTTATTCTATATTAGTTTCAAGTACAATATAGTGGTTAGGCATTTGTATGCTTTATGAAGTGATCTCCCTGATGATGCTAGTACCCACCTAGCACCAGGCATAGTTATTATTGTATTATTGACTATCAATCTGTGATTTTTACTTTCTTCAGATTTTTTACCCAGCCCTCCAACTTTCTCTTTTATCTGGTAACCATCAGCCTGTTCTCTGTGTCTATGAGCCTGTTTCTGTTTCTGTTTTTTTGTTGTTGTTATTTATTTTATTCTTTAGATTACACATATAAATGAAATCATATGGTATTTGTCTTTCTTTGTCTGACTTGTTTTACTTAGAATAATACGTTCAAGGTCCAGCCATGTTGTCATAAATTTTAAGAGGTCATTCTTTTTTAAGGCCTAGTAACATTCCATTGTTTGTACTACTTGTTCACTTAATCAGATATTGATTAGCACTTGGGTTGCTTCTATATCTCAGTTATTTAAGTAACACTGCAGTGTACATAGGGGTGCATATATCTTTTGAAGTAGTGTGTTGGAATTCTTTGGATATATTCCCATAGGTGGAATTGTTGGGTCATAAGGCAGGTTCATGTTTAATATTTTGAAGTAAATCCATACTGCTTTCCATAGTGACTGCATCAATCTTCATTCCCACCAACAATGCACAAGGGCTCCCCTTCCTCCACATCCATACCAAAACTTGTTTGTTGACTTATTGATGATAGCCATTCTGACAGGTATGAGGTAATATCTCATGGTGGTTTTAATTTTCATTTCTCTGATGATTAGTGATTTTGAGCACCTTTTCATATGTCTATTGGCATCTCTATGTAGTCTTTGGAGAAATATGCATTCATTTCCACTGTCCATTTTTCAATTGCATTACTTGTTTTTTATTGTTAAGTTTGTGATTTCTTTATAAATTTTGAATAATAATCCCGTATCAAATATATCATTGTGAAATATCTTCTAATAAGTAGGTTGTCTTTTCATTTTCTTGATGGTTTCCTTTGCTGTGAAAAAAACTTTTTAGTTTAATGTAGTGCCATTTATTTATTCTTTCATTTGCTTCCCTTGCCTGCCAAGAAATATCAGAAATACTGTGCTTTTCTAAAATCACAAGAGTGGGCCTAACTTAATATTTTGCTACTTTACTATACTTAGGTTTTCTGGGTGGCTGTAACTTAATCTAGCTCTTTGATATTCAAAAACTCTGAATGTTAAGAAAAGTTTTTAGAGAACGCTGGTCAGAATTCTCCCTGAGGTCCTGTTCAAAATTGTTTCGTGCTCTTAGCTCATTCATTTTTACAGAAAAAATTCTCCCCATCCTCCAAGCCCAGGCCTAAGACAAGACAGATGTGCAGGATGAAGAGTATGACTGCAGTTTTTGCACCAAGACTCTGCGATACCCTGCCTGACTAATTAGCGCTGCTCCTTCAGGAGACTGAAGAGCAAATAGAACAGACCCATGCTTCTTCCACTTACCCCTGGTTGTTATTGTAATTATCTGACGTGGTCCTCTGACATCATCCTGCCCTCAGGATGCATTAAAGTATATAGGGTTTTTTGCCTTTTCTTTAAATGGCTTTTGATATCTCTGATTCTTGATTTAGTTCCAGATCCCTTTCAGCAATAATTTTTCTACTTGGTCTACTCTTTAATCTACCCAATAGTAATTTCACTAAGTGTTGTTTTATTTGATAAATATACTTCTAGATAAGAGTTTGAAAAATAAACAAAGAGCCAGCTATAGAATATTAATTTTTTGTCAGAAGCTTTATTTAATTTTATGCAACTGGTGGTAGTTCTTAAAAGTATAAGCAGCCCAAGTATCCATCTGTACATGAGGGGATAAAAAAAGCTATGGTACATTTACACACTAGAATACTACTTCACCATAAAAAAAAAAGAAAATCTTACCTCTTGTGATGGCATGGGTGGACCTAGAGAGTTTTTTATTTAGTAAAATAAGCTAGTCAGAGAAAGACAAGTACCATATAATTTTCCTTATATGTGAACTCTAATGAACAAGATGAACAAACAAACTAGAAACAGACTCATAGATACAGAGAACAGACACAGCTGTAAGAGGGTGAGGTGCTGAGTTAAAAAGGTGAAACTATTAAGAAAAAACTACACAATATGTTGTTTGCCAAAGGGAAAGGAGAGTGGAGGGAAGTGGAACAGGTCAAAAGGGGGATCAATGGTGGCAAAAAGAAACTTGATTTTGGGTAGCGGGTACACAATGCAGTGTGCAAATGATGTTTTATTGAGTTGTACACTTGAAACTAATATAGTTTCATTAATCAATGTCACCTCAATAAATTCAATAAACTACATGTCAGTCATTTTTATGCCTTAGTAATGAATGATATGGTACCATTTGAGAACAAATACAATTTAAATTCAAGTCCCCTCTTCTGATGATATAAACACTTCAGAAACTCTTTTTATTAATATCTTCACCAGTTTATTTCAGCACTGTGTAGACAGTAGACAGCATTTTTAATGTTTGTTCTAACTACCTCATTGTCTTTTACTTTAACAGGTTTCAAATCAGAAGCACAGCTACCCAGGAAAACTCACTTCATCACTGTGTGTGGATGCACATGTCAGTCATTTATGACCAGCAGTGTAGTACACCTTCACGCAGTATTTGTGAGAAGAAGCAATCAGTAAAATGATGGGGATGTGGACACGAAGGAACAAGGAGAAGTGCGCAAGATAGTGAGCAGGCCAGAACACAAAACATGAAAGAAAGGTATTGGAAGTCAAAGTAAATGCGTCAGCTATCGAAAGAGCTCAGTCATCTTTAATGTTAGCCAAAAAACGGGATGGAAAGACAGTGATGTTCTGCACATTAACACTGTTGGTAGTTTAATATCATGTTCTAATGAAAAGAACCCCAAAATAGAGTCAGAGCAGCAGAACTTGAATATTTATCCTATGATTGACATGGCATTTACCTAGGTCTCACCACAATTGCTTGGTGTTTCAAGATCTTAGTTTCTGGCTCTCCCAGAGTCATTCTTGACCTTAAAAAGTGTCACTGGAGTAGACAGGACGTGTTGCTGGGATTTGTTCCTCCGCTTACAGCAGGTGCATCTGACACAGGTGGAAGGCACAATGTGATTCTGAATGAAGAAATAAAAAAATACTAGAATCAGAGCTATTTTATTATTTTGTTAATATGATCATGATTGTGATCAAGACCTCATAACAAGCTGGAATTCCACTTTTTTTCTAAATTTAACAGCCGAGGAAATATGTCTCCCACATCTCTGAATGCTAAACTTTCCTATAATGTGAAATTGTGGGAAAACTGCTCTCAAAAGAAAGCTTTCTCCTTTTTTGTTGTTGCTGTTTAGTTACATTTTTAGAATTTTTTATTTTTCAATTCCAGTTGACATTCAATATTATTTTACATTAGCTTCAGGTGTACAGAATAGTGGTTAGACATTTGTACACTTTACAGATTGATCCCACTGGTAATTCTAGTGTGTACCTAGAACCACACATAGTCACAATACTTTTGACTATATTCTCTATGCTGTACTTCACATCCCTGGGACTATTTTATAATTATCAATTTGTACTTATTAATCCTCCACCTTTTCCATCTAACTTCTAAGGCCCCTCCCCTTTAGCACCCATCAGTTTGCTCTCTGTATCTCTGAGCCTGTTTGTTTCATTTGCTCACTTGTTTTGTACTTTAGATCATACATGTAAATAAAATAATGCAGTGTTTATCTTTCTGTGACTTATTTCACAAAGTGTAATACTTTCAGGCTGCATCCATGTTTTCACAAATGGTAAGACTTCATTTTTTATGGCCAAGTAGTATTCCATCGTATATATGTATCATCCCTCATCATCCAATTATCTATTGATGAGCATGTAGTTTGCTTCCATGTCTTTGCTGTTGTAAATAATGCTGCAATGCACACAGCAGTGCAAATATCTTTTTGAATTCTGTTTCGGATTTCTTCAGATAAATACCCAGAAGTATAATTGCTGGGAAATGAGTAGTTGTATTTTTAATTTTCTGAGGGCCATTCTTGCTGTTTTCCATAGGGGCCGACCCAGTTTGCATTCCCACTAACAATGGAAAAGGGTTCCTTTTTCTCCACATCCTTGCTGCACTTGCTGTTAGCAATTTGACAGGTTTGAGGTGCTGTCTCATGGTGGTTTTAATTTTTATTTCTCTGATAGTGATTTTGAGCATCTTTTCATATGTCTTTTAGCCATCTCTAAGTTCTCTTTGGAGAAATGCACATTCAGATCTTCTGCCCATTTTTTTGTACTTTTTATAACTTTTATTTTAGAGAGAGGGGAAAGGAGGGAGAAAGAGAGGAAGAGAAACATTGGTGTGAGGGAAAAATGTCGATTGATTGCCTTTTGCCTTCCTCAAGTGCCCCAATGAGGGCAGAGCACAGACTCTGCAACCTGAGCATGTGCCCTGACGAGGAATTAAACCTATGACATTTTGGTTTACAGGACAACAACCAACCATCTGAGGCACACTGGCCAGGGTAACTTTTTGCTAGGTTGTGTAAGTTCTTTATAAAGTTTGCATATTAACCTCTTGTCAATGTGTCATTGGAAAATATATTCTCCCAATTAGTAAGTTACCTTTTCATTTTCTTGATTTTTTTTTACTATGCAAAAGTTGGGGTTTTTTTTTAGTTTGATGCAGTGCCATTTGTTTATTCTTTCTTTATTTTTCCATCACCTGTCGAAATATGTCAGAAAATACATTACTGAGAGCAGTGATAGTTTATTGCTTATGTTTTTTTCTAGGAGCTTTATAGTTTGGGGATTTACATTCAAGTCTTTAATTCATTTTGACTTTGTTCTTCTATATGTTGAAAGAATGTAATTTAGTTTAATTTTTTGCATGTATCTGTCTAACTTTCTTAACACTATTTATTGAATAAACTACTTTTAGTCCACTGTATGTTTTGATTCTTTATCATAGTCTAATTAACCACATTGGTCTGAGTTTACTTCTGAACTCTCTGTTCTTTTCCATTATCATGCTGGGTTTTTTTTTAATATTAAATTTTATTTACTTTTTTTTTCTTTTTTTCTTTTCTTTGTTTGATTACTACAGCTTTATAATGTAGGTAGAATGAAATTTACAACTTTTTTCCCTCAAGATTGCTTGGCTATTCACATCTCTTGTGGTTTCATCTAAGTCTTAGAATTACTTCTTCTAGTTCTGTGAAAAGTGCCATTGATATTTTGATAGAGATTGCATTGAATCTATCAATTGTTTTGGCTAGTATGGACATTTGAATGTTGCTAATTCCTCCTATCCACGAGCATAGTATAGATTTCCATTTATTTGTATCTTCTTCAATTTCTTTCTTCAATGCTTTACAATTTTCCTAGTACATGTCTTTTACCTCTTTGGTTAAGTTTATTGCTAGATATTATTTTTTGGATGTAATTGTAAATGCAATTATTTTCTTAATTTCTCTTTCTGATAGTTTATTATTGGTGCATCAAATATAATTAATTTCTGAATATTAATTTTGCACCCTGCTACTTTATTGGATTCATTTATTAGTTCTAATAGTTTTTGATGGGATCTTTAGGGTTCTCTCTATATTGTGCTATATCATCTGCAAATAATAACAATTTTACTTCTTTCTTTCCAATTTGGATGCCTTTTGTTTTTCTTTGTCTGATTGATATGGGTAGGTATTTCGGTATTATTTCAGTATTATGTTGAATAAAAGTGATAAAAGTGGACAACCTGTCTTATTCCTGATCTTAAGGAAATCACTTGGCTGTGACTTTGTCATCTATAGCCTTTATATATGATCTTATATTGAGGTATCTTCCCTGCATTCCCATTGTGCTGAGAATTTTTGTCATAAATGGATGCTGTATTTTCTCAAATGTTTTTCTACATCTATGGATATGATCATGTGAATTTTATTCTTCATTTTGTTTATGTGGTATATCACATTAATTAATTTGCAGGTATTGAACCAACTTTGCATCTCAGGAATAAATACCACTTAGACATGATGAGTGATCTTTTAAATGTATCGCTAAATTCAGTTTGCTAATACTTGGTTGAGAAGTTTTGCATCTATGCTCATCAGGGATGTTAGCTGACAATTATTTTTGTAATGTCTTTGTCTAGTTTTGAAATCAAGGTAGTTGGGGCTTCATAACATGAGACTGGGAGCCTTCTCTTCTTTTGAATTATTTTGGAGTAATTTGGAATGGTAGATGTTAATTATTCTTTGAATGCTTGGTAAAATTCACCTGTAAAGCCATCCAGTTCAGGACTTTTGTTTGTTGGGAGTTTTTTTTTATTATTGATTTGATTATGCAGCTAGTAATTCATGTGTTCAGATTTTGTGTTTCTTTTTGATTCAATCTTGGAAAATTGTGTGTTTCTAGAAATGTATCCATTTATTCCAATTTGTTGTCTAATTTGTTGGCATATAATTATTTGCAGTAATTTCTTATAATGCTTCATATTTCTGTGGTGTCAGTTGTCATTTCTCCTCTTTTATTTCTAATTTTATTTATTTGGGTTTTACCTCTTTTTAAGGGGTCTGGTTATAGAATTTTGTTTATCTTTTTGAAGAACTATCCTTGATTTTTTTCTATTTTTTTAAGAATCTGTTTCATTTATTTCCTTTCTTCTACTCACTTTGTGCTTTACTGTTCTTTTTATAGTTCCCTTAGGTGTAATGTTAGATGGTTAACTTGAGATTTTTCTTGGTTTGTGAGGTTGGCCTGTGTGACTCTGAATTTCCCCTTTTAGGACTGCTTTCACTGTGTTTCAGAGATTTGGGGTCACTGTGGTTTCATTTTCATTTGTCTCAAGTATTATTTGATTTCTTCCTTGATCTTCTAACCCATTAATTGTTTAGTAGCATGTTATTTAACCTCCATGTGTTTGTGTGTTTCTCAGGTTTTTTCCTTGTATTTAATTTCTAGTTTCATACCATTGTGGCTAGAGAAGATGCATTATGTATATTTAATCTTAAATATTTATCGAGTCTGGTATTCTGACTTGACATGAGGTCTGTCATAGAAAATGTTGCACATGCACTTGAAATGAATGTATATTCTGCAGCTTTGTGTGAAATGCTATAAAATTATTGATTAAATCCATTTGGTCTAGTGTGTCAATTAAGGCTAGTTTCCTTGTTGAGTTTCTTCCTGGAAGATCTATCCATTGAAGTCAATGGGGTATTAAAGTCCCCTACTGTGACTGTGTTCCTAGAGATCTCTTCCTTTATGTACACTAGTATTTGCTGTATATGTTTAGGTGCTCCTATGCTGGGTGCCTAAAGGGACCCAGGGTTATATCCTCTTGTTGGGTTGATCCCTTTATCAATATGAAATGTTCTTTGTCTCTTACTATATACCATTTGTTTTGAAGTCTATTTTGTCAGATTGTTAACCCAGTGGTTTTTTTGTTTTGTTTTTATTTGTATGAAGTACATTTTTCCATTCCTTTACCTTCAGTCTGTGTGTGTCTTTTGATCTGAAGTGGGTCTTTTGTAGGCAGCGTATATGTGAGTCTTGTTTTCATATCCATTCAGCTACCCTATTTCTTGATTGGAACATTTATTCCATTTACATTTACAGCAATTATTGATAGGTTCACAGTTGTTGCCATTTTAATATTCATACTTGTATTCTTTTTCTTCTTCTTCTTGAAGTGTCTTTGACATTTCTTGTAACACCAGTTAGGTGGTAATGAACTCCCTAGGTTTTCTTATCTAAAAAGCTCTTTATTTCTCCGTCTATTTTAAATATTTGCCTTGCTGAGTAAGGTACTATTGGCTGTAAGTCCTTTCTAGTTTTATACCATTGTGACCAGAGAAAATACATGATTTCAATCTTAAATTTATCGCAACATGTTTTGTGGCATCACATGTAGTCTATCCCACTAAATACTGCATGTACACTTGAAAAGAATGTATTTTTTTGCTGCTTCAGGTAAAATGTTCTAAAAATATCAACTAAATCCATCTATCTGGTCTATTGTGCCATTTAAGGGCACTTTGAAATTTTTAAATATTTTGTGCCAATGTCTTTTGGTCTACAAAGTTTCTATTGAGAAATCAGCTGACAGTCTTATGGGACCTCCATTGTAGATAAGTAAATGATTTTCTCATGCTGCTCTTAAGATTTTCTGTCTTTAACCTTTGGCATTTTAATTATGATGTGTCTTAATGTGGACTTTTTTGGATTCATGTTGGGACTCTCTGTGCTTCTTGGACTCATGTGTTCTTCTTCTTTACAGGATAGGGAAGTTTCCGGACATTATTTATTCAAATAGATTCTCAATCTCTTGCTCTCTCTCTTCTCCTTCTGTTATTTCCTGTGATGCAACTGTTGTTATGCTTGATGTTGTTTCAGAAGTCCCTTAAGCTATCCTCATTTTTAAAATTCTTTTTTCTTTTAGCTTCCCTGATTGAATGTTTTCTGCTACCTTATGTTTCAAATCACTGAACTGATCTGCTTCATCTAATCTATTGATTTTTTCAAGTGCATTCTTTATTTCAATTATTGTAATCTTCATTTTGACAGTTTTTATTGTCTCTATGTCCTTTTTTAATGAATACTATCTCTTTGTTAAAATTCTCACTAGGTTCCTTGAATATCCTGTGTTTTGAAATCTGTGTCTTGTAGATTGCTTCCCTCTATTTTATTTTATTTTATTTTCCTGCAGATTTCTTTTGTTGTTTAATTTGGGATGTTTCTTTA